AGAGACTGGCAGGTGTCCAAAGAGCACTCTTTTTCTGACCACCTCTACATAAGTTTTAAGCTCAGTTTTGATCCTGCTCCTTTAACAGCGTACAGGAAAAAGAAGCGAATCGACTGGGCAAAGTATAAAAATACACTGTCGGCCTCTCTATACAGATACGATGATGAAGAAAGTCTCTCGAATACGAAGGTTGTTTTCCTCGGTGAGCTGGATCATTGTCAAAAATTGATGAAGCAGTGAACTTTGTGGCAAATGCCTGTAATATTGCTTTCAAAGCCTCCTGCCCAAGCACCCTCCTGTAGGGCAAAAAGAAACCTCAGTGGTGGAACTTTGGTCCGGAAATATTTTCGATCAGGGTTGACACGTTTCTATGTAACACAAATTTTTATTTTGTTAATTTTAATCAGAATATTTTTTTTGTATGTATACAAAGAACATGATGAACTCTAATGCCACTATTGAGCAAACCTTTAATTATATTGCATCATGCATACGCTCAAGATATGTATTATTCATTCCAACGTATTTATAGTTATAAATAGGGTTGCCACCTAAATTTTAAAGTAAGAAATTTATTTACTTTATAGATATCAAAATCCATTTTTTTTTCAAAATATTACTTTTAAAGTTATCCAAATGACCAGTATTTGATACAAACCTTGAAAACTTCAAAAAGTGCATGCATATATGCACTCCGAGCAAAGCTCGGTTCTCCTGGTACTAAGTATGTATTAATGTATATAAAGTAATTTGATTTTTATTATGTATGTTGTAAATGTTATATATTTAATTAACGAATCGATTCGAAGCGTAAAACAAAGTCGAATGTGAATATGTATGTGTAATTTAATTTATTGATCTTTACAGTACTCGCAAAGCGATTAGAAACAGTACTCTCATGTTTATATTTTCAATTTTCTAAAATTTTTTGGATTTGGGATTATATTTTTATAAATCGAAATTTACGATTATACCTATTCTACATTACGATCGTAGTTCCGTTTTTCTAAGCTGCAAATTTGTTGACGGAGAACGTTTCGATTGTTATTTACGTGGGTTTAAATAATAAAATTTTATAAAAAAAATTAAATAAAATATACTGTGCATGATTGTAACAGTGATTGTTTTCGCGCAATATGAAAAATTGGCTCAAATAATGGCAAGCAAAAGGGATATTGCGCGAGGTTCTCAAAGAGGAAGTCCAGGCGTTTTTGTATTCATTATCTATAATAAATAAGACTGTGAAATGCACTGAATACAATTTATTCTTTTTATATAAAATTAATAGATGTATGTACATACATACATACATACATAAAATGTGAAGTCACATAAAAAAAGATGTTTTTATTATTGCACTCATTTTTACTAACTTTTTAAAAAGAGGTGCGTATGTTGCCACGAATTCGATTTGCTATGGAAGGATAAGCTTTGTTCTTCACGTTTATTTTATAATCAAACCACGTTTATTTTATAATTTCACTGGCTTTGAGCGATGTGTAATACAGCTCAAGATGAATTTCTTATGACTCTTCACTCATCTGAAAAGTATCAAACATGTCCCTAAATCTCCGCCTTTCAACTTCCGCATCAGCAATCTGGGACTCGTTCTCCTCTTCATGCAATAACGCCGCGGCTATGGATTTCATTCTTATAATTAAGTTTCCACTTAAATTAAGAGCAAACGAAATTTTATTTTTAAATAACAGTAATGCTAGATATATTTAGTTATTTTATAATATTTATAAACTTTAACTTCATAAGCTGCTATAGTTTGCTGGCAAATATTTCTTTGTTTTGTTTCGATTTCACACATTCCTAGGCAAACAGCTGTTTTCGAAAGATGTTTTCTCTCTTCCTCTTCATCTTTCGATTCGATCGTAGCTCAGATTACCTAAGTTCGATTCTTGCGGAGCGGAATGCGGGAACGTGATCGAAATGCAGAATAGGGCTGAATGAGACGAATAGTTGCTTATTGTATCTAATGTTGGTACCAAGTTGCTACGTTTTTATTATTTTTCACATTTAATTTTTTTTTGTAATTTTAAATTTTTATTTTTTTTGATAAGAAGGGTATGATCACTCTTTGTCGCTTTATTCTGAATTCGAAAAATTATATGTTTCAATGTACCTGAACTCAATGTTAAATATTTTAATAAATCATTAAGATTTAGATAGCGTCTTAGCAATTTATTTGAGAAAAATATAACATCTAGGCGAACGTCGAATGCGAATGCGTAAAATGATGCGAATCATTCGCATAACGAATGCGAATGCATATACATATTCGCAACATCCGTGGTATGTACACATGTAGGTAAGAATGTATGCGTCTTCCCAGGTAAGTTAAATGCGGGTATAGTTGCATACTGTGTACCTACTTACAATTAAAATGGGGAAAGAATTTTACAATTTGGGGTTTCCAAGCTATGTACGAAGTGATAGCACAGCTGCATTCTTCATCTTGTACTTAATCACAATAACGCTAGCTCGGTTCACCAAATTTTCCGCCCACTTTTGAAAGTTGAGTGCATCTTGTGTTTATAGAAATTTGTATCAAACAAGTATTTGCTAAGCAAAAAACGCAACCGACTTAAATTCTCATATACAAATTTAGGAGTACCGTTAATTTTTTCATGGTCCAATAATCGGACCTAAACCAAATTACGGGACAACTCTTAAGGTACCTTCTTACCGATAAAAAAAAATATTGAAATCGATTCACGCGGTTCAAAGTTATGAAGTGGCATACATAATAGAAGAAAAAATACTCCGAAGAATTGATAACCTCCCCTTTTTTGAAGTCGGTTAAAAATGTCTGAGTTCTTTGTTAATTTTGTGCAAGTAAAGTGCAATTTATGAAACGTTAAAAAGTTTATTTATTTATTACATACTGTTCATAAAACTTGCATAAATGTATTTTAAAAAGCGTATTATCTGAAGCGAATTATCAGTATTTTCTGATGATATATATTTATAATATATTCCTGGGTGCGCCGCTGGTTATGTTAATAACTTGAAGTAACCAAATTGGACGAACTAGAGTGCCAGCTACTGTCGAAATTCGACCGTGCTTCTAGTTTTTTAAGACCCTTGGAGAGGTTTTCTAACTTAGCACAATTTTTACAATTTGTATAATGTTACTTGCCGGAAATTCCCTGTTTTGGAACTAAACCTTGGCTTAAATTTTTATATCTTTGAAGTAGGGATGAAACGATACTAGTAAATAAAAGTACATACTCGATACTTTTCGTCCGATACCAAGTAATTTTGTACTCGATACTTTTGAACCGAGTACTGAGTAGGTATCGGAAAAAAGTACTTGTATCAAAACCCCAATTCATTGACAATTTTATTCCCGGACTTTTATTTTTTAATCTAATATCTTTGTAAATAGTTCAAAAATTTTGGCAGTTTAGTTGCGAATGAAAACCGCAAGAAGGCGTCAACGTCGGGGTGGCGCCAATTTTGACAATTCTACGAAAAAGGGTGCGCGTTCTATTGCTTTCGTAGCGAATGAACCGGCAAATTGGATCGAGCAAGAGCTCCGGAAGGATCCACCAAGAAATTCATCCTAGACGTTAGAACGCGCCGGAATTCACTCTTTTACATGCTGGAAAGATTTTTTGATATGTCCAAAATTTCGGCTCAACTTATACTTGATGCTACAGACAGTCCTGAAATGATAGCAACAAATGAAATAGAAATACTGAAGCAAATAGTTCAGCTACTGAAGCTTTCGAGTTTGTAACCAAAGAATCTTCAGGACAGAATTATGTCGCACTTTCCAAGATCATACCTATGGTTAGGGTGGCCAGATGCGCTGATTTAATCAGTACATGTGCTGATTTTTTTCTATTGTACTGATTTTTAAGAGCCCGAAATAAGTACGCAAAATCTACTAATTTTTTGAGTTTGTACTGATTTTTAAATTTAATAAATACTTTTGTAAATTGGTGTAATTGACATTTACTTGAAGTTTACATGTTCAAAACAATGGTTTTTGACAACTCATACGTGTGAGCAGATTGAAAGCATTAATTAAATTTAAACCATTATTAAAAAGGTGTCAGCTTGCAATTGTATCGTTTCCTAGGATTTCGCAAAATAACAAACTGTTTGGATTCAACCCAACCCAACTTCACGATTTGCAGGTTTTACAGGATTTACAGGAAAAGCTGGTTTCGCCATTAATAAATCTTATGAAAGGTGATGATGTCTTTTGGTATAGAATTAACTATATTTATTATAAGAAATTTAAATTAAGTAAGGAAAGAAAAAATTTTCAAAACCTGTCAATACATTTTACTACTATTTTCCTGAGCAAAGCTGTACATACATACGTAATACTTTTGATTTGTTTTAAAGTAATGAATTTTTATATTGATGATACTATATGTATTTAAAAGTCTATTAATTATTTTTTGTTGAATTAATGCGCTGTTGTTTGGTTGTTATATTGTTAATAATAAAAAATACACTTAAAAATGAGCTGATTTTTATGGCTTTGTACTGATTTTTGATCCCAACTGTACTGATTATGTCTCTATAATATCTGGCCACCTGCCTAACATCTCAACTACAAACGAAACTCCTGGCGGAGTGTAGTAAAAGATTTGGTCTCATTGAATACAACACCTACACAGCTTTAGGAACTATCTTCGATCATCGCTTCAAGAATCTTCATTTTCAAGATGCGAACGCTTGCGGTCGGACAATTTTTAAACTAAAAAGTCTTATTCAAGTAGACGCTAATACTAACTCCGAAGAAGACGTTGTTAAAGAAGATTTTGACTTTTGGTACCAACATAAAAAGCTTGCGATTGGGCAAAAACGAAAACACTCTACACTCTTCACCTTTACCTTAAAGTGTTTAGATTTACTTTGATCTTCGTTTTTG